AGGTCCTTCCTGGAACTGAGCACAGCAGGTGGTCCGAGTACAGCAGGTGGTCTGAGATGGTGGCCCTTTCCCTAAGATGGAGCCTCTAAAGTCAAGTCTAGGCCTTCACAGCATGTACCACCACATCTGGAGTGAATCCTTTCTTATGACTACAAGTGTGTACCACCACATCAGGAGTGAATCTTTTTTTTTTTAAGATTTATTTATTGGGGGCTGGAGAGATTGCTCAGAGGTTAAGAGCACTGACTGCTCTTCCAGAGGTCCTGAGTTCAATTCCCAGCACCCACATGGTGGCTCACAACCATCTGTAATGAGATCTGGCACCCTCTTCTGTGTACATAATAAATACATAAATCTTTTTAAAAAAGATTTATGTATTTATTATGTACACAATGTTCTGTCTGCATATATTCCTACACCCCAGAAGACAGCACCAGATCTCATTATAGATGATTGTGAGCCACAGTGTGATTGCTGGGACTTGAACGTAGGACCTCTGGAAGAGTTGCTGGTGCTCTTAACCTTTGAGCCATCTCTCCAGCCCCATGTGAATCTTTCCTTACAGGCACTTAATTTGTTCTGGTATTTTCATATTTCCTTTATTGTGTAGTAGCAGGAACAACTATAGAATGAGTTTTGAAAAGCAAACAAAGCAAGGACTGGGGCCTGGGGCTCCATTTAGATCCTCTCTGCGCCCATTTTTTTGTGGGCTCAGCTCCTAGCCTAAGTTCACGGGAGACATTTCCACCAAATGGGGGACGTAATAGCTGCTTCCTTGTACCTCACCAGAAAGTCTCTAGTTTCTCTGAACTGGGGCTGAAACAGGCTGAAACGGGTATTTTCACAAGCAACCACTGAAAGCAAAGCCACAGCATCAGTCTTCACTCACTTCCGGGAGGTTTGGAGATGGCGCTGCAGGCTGACCTCCAGCAACTACCTCCGCTTAGTTCTGAGGAAATCAGGCATCTCTGGCTCAGCTGTGGGAGGTGAAGCAACTACTTCCACTTAGTTCTGAGGAAATCAGGCATCTCTGGCCCAGCTGTGGGAGGTGAAGAACTAAGCAACTACCTCTGCTTAGTTCTGAGGAAAACAGGCATCTCTGGCCTCAGCTGCCCTCCAAGGACGTCTTTATTTGGGTCCAGGAAGATATCCCTAAGGATCCCAAACTCTAAAGATCTCGGGGTCTGGCTGCATGCCTTTAATCTAAGCACTCGGGAGGCAGAGGCAAATGGATCTCTGTGAGTCTGAGAATGGCCTGGTCTACAGAGCGAGGTCCAGAACAGCCAGGGCTACATGGAGAGACCCTGTCTCAAAACAAGCAAGCACAAACAAATAGCACCGACAACTCAGGGTCAAGACATCTTGACATGCTAGGTCAGGTCCTTGAGGGAAGAGACCCTGAGACCAAGGTGGGGAATGTCAGTCAGACCATGAAAGCTGGAGCCCTCCCCAGAGAATGCCCCAGGAGCCTTCCCGGGACCACCAGGTCTTGTAACGAATTTGCTATCCAAAGATACTGGTAAATGGGGGGTGCGGGGTGGGGGTGGGGGAGTGGAAGGGGTGGGGGGTGGAAGCCGGGCTCTGTGACAGGGGCCTCCAGTCTTCATCTGTCCTCAACTTTTTTTTTTTTTTTTTTGAGACAGGGTCTCTATTATGTAACTTTGGCTGTTCTGAAACTTGCTATGTAGATCAGGCTGGCCTCGAACTCTGCTTGCCTCTGCCGCCCGAGTGGTGGAATTAGAGGCATGCGCCATCACACCAGGTTTGTCCTTGGTTAGGTAAAGGCCTCAGGAGACCTCCAGCTCCGTAGCCTGGGTTACTCCTGTGCTTGTAGCTCCACAACTCTCCTCCAGGTGGCACCCTAGGTCTTCAGTTTCTCTCTCTCTCTCTCTCTCTCTCTCTCTCTCTCTCTCTCTCTCTCTCTCTCTCTCTCTCTTTCTCCTCATCGGCTTATGGAAACCAGGTGCCCCTAGCCAGGACAAACATACAAGGCAAGCAGCCTGGTGTATTTGAGTGGCTCCAGCCACCCTATCCCCCAAATTGTAGTTCATAATTGTTCATTTTGTCAATTTAAATCTAGACTCACTTGGGAGGAGTCTCGATGGAGGACTGTCTAGATCAGGTAGGCCAGTGAGTATGTCTATGCAGATTATCTTGATTACATTAACTGAGGTGGGAAGACCGTTCCCTGAATTTGGGTCCTGGACTGTACAACAAAGCAAGCAAGCTGAGCATAAGCATGTATGGACTGCGAACTGAGCATAAGCATGTATGCACTGTGAGCCGAGCATAATCATGTATGCACTGTGAGCCGAGCATAAGCATGTGTGTACTGCAAGCCGAGCATAAGCATGTATGGACTGTGAGCCGAGCATAAGCATGTATGCACTGCAAGCTGAGCATAAGCATGTGTGCACTGCAAGCCGAGCATGAGCATGTGTGCACTGCGAGCCGAGCATGAACATGTATGCATTCTCTTCTCTGTTTCTCATTACCATGCAACAGGACCAGCTCCCTCAAGCTTCTGCTGCTCTGGCATCTCCACTATTGAAATAGACCCTTTCTCCCCTAAGTTGTCTCATCAGGGTATTTTTGTCACAGTAACTGGAAATTAAACTAAGACACAGTCCCTCGTGGAGACTCTAGACATACCGATATCATGGGTGGTGCTTCTGAGGGGACACTGGCTAAGAAGAGGGGGTCAAATGACATCATGGTCAGGGATAGAAAAAAAAAAAAAGAGGAACCCCGGAGCTGTGGGGAACCACCAGGGTTAAGCTCTCAGTCCTGGTCTTGGCTGGTCCAGGGCAGAGCCAGCCGAAGTAAAGAGAAGCAGATGATTGCCAGCATATCCCAGAGTCCTCAGGCATGGTAGCCAAGGGTTCAGCATCTTGTGGGGCTGGCACCACTAAGTCACCGCTGTGGTCCTGACTCATGCTCTAGCACGACGAGTGTGTGGCTTCTTTCAGGGCACCTCAGAGTGAGTCTTCTAATTCCTCAGGCCTGGGGAACTCCAGCTCCAGTCAGGCTCCTGCCCCGCCCGTTCTTCTCCGGGTGCTTCCTGGGGTGCTGGCTTTGGGTGGGCAAGCCAGAGCTTGCCTCTGGAACACCTGAGGTACCAGTTACCTAAGCTCCACTTGTTTACCTCTGTTTGTCCTTGGCACAACACACACTCCAGCGTTGAGTGAGTCCCGCCCCAGGGAGTGACATGATCACCCCGAAGCCTTGTTTTCTGTTTTCCCAGTTACACCTTCTGCCCCAAAGCCCGTCAGCTGGCCCAGGCCCAGCCTGTGAGGCCCAGTAGGCAGCGTTGGACCAGAGAGGAGCAGCCAGTGCAGGGTGCATTGTTTGTCCTGCCAGCATGGGTGCCACAGCCTCTCTGCCTCCTGGACTGCATCCCTGCCATCCATCTCGAGGCTACCACCGTGACACCTCTACTGGCCGTCACACTGTATATATTGTCACATACATAATCTCACAGTGTCACAGTCACAAGGTATCACATAGTCAAATACACATCCACACACCGACACACGCACTCACAATGCCACACGGTTATATACAATCACACTTTGTCACACCATCAGGTATATAGTGTTACCTATAATCATACACAGTATCACACTGTCACATACATGGTCATACATAACGTCACATATGTAGTCACACCAAAGCCCACAACACTGGCCTCCACTTCCTAAAGCCCTAATGCTGCCAGGGGTAGTCTTCCTACTCATCCAAGAGGCAGCCTCCACATGTGTGCAACGGTGTTTGTGTGTGCTGCATGTCTGTTCATGCAAGCCTGTACACATGTGCATGCACCTGACCCGGAGAAGCTGGCCTCTACCCTCACTGCATGAAGGGACTTGGAGGGCTAGCCCAGTCCAGAGCTGCCTGGGCCTGTCCTGACTGAGTACCTTAGCCCTTCTCCATTCTTTCTGCCTCCCCGAGGTACAAGCATGGCTTTATAGATAGTGCTGTGGGAGCCCCAGCTAGGGGGTTCTACAGTGATTTAGGGACAATTTCCCTGCTTGGACACTAGGAACCTAAACATGCCACATGCACCAGAGGTGTCCCCCTCCACCATGTGGTTCGGCTAGGGTTATGGGAAGACAACAGGAGCCACTCTCCTGAGGTCCCCTGCCTCAGCTTGGAACAAGGCTCCGAGCACCAAGTTTTCCCAGTCAGCTGACCAGAGGTGACTAGGGTTGACAGAGCTAGTCACTGAGATACTGTCTTCCTGATTAGTGCTCTGAAAAATGACTCAGTAGAGAGGATGATAGGACCTGCAGTGATGTGCTTCTGACTCAGGAAGGAAACCGTGCTTGGATCTCTGGCGGAAGCTGTAAAACCATGACATCAGTCTGAGGCCTCTGCTACTACTTCCTGAGACCCTTCAGGGGCCAGCCATGGCCTAACGGCCTAGAGAAGGCTGCCCCTGGCGAGAGTGGTGGCTGTGAGGGAGTAGAGGAGACCCCAGCCAAGCCCCACTGTGGATATAGGAGCAAGGTAGCTGGGCAGCAGCTAGTTATGCCCACACCCCTGGGATGTGGCTGCTGTCCAGGAAGGTGAGGATGTTCCAGAGGCCAGAGGTAGCAGCCAGGTCTTGAAACCAAAGAGCAGCACAGCTTGCCCTGGCCATCTAGGCCCAGGGTTCAGGCCCACCTGGCTCCTCAAACCTTCAAGGCAAAGTAGGTAACCAGCCTACCTTAGAAGGGGTGTAGCATCCTCCCTCTCCTATAGCCCCTCCTCCTGCCATGCCCTGCAACCTTCCCCTCTGTGTCCACCTGCAGTGGAAAAGCCCAGCAAGCTCAAGCCTGAAAAATCTTCCAGGGGTCCCATCGGTGGACTCTCCAGGAAACTCAGGAGTGGCTGTCACGGGGGCAATATGGTGAACATGTCCCACCCACCCTGGAAGGCAACTCCCAGACATTGCACATGCCAGGACCTGGTGAGCTCACAAATGCAGCAATTAATAATGATGACAAGACACTGGGGGATTGGGAGAACCAAACTCAAATCTGTCCACATTTGCCTCCAGCCCCAGGGTGCTCCGGCCTCTACAGCTGTTCCCACATTCACAAGTCTCCAAAGCTGCCTGACCAGTGAGAGGCTCCAGCTGGGCTCCGGGTCAGGGTCTGAATGACTCTGGATGGGGGCCCCTCCAGATTTGACGCTCCTCGGGTCCAGGTCTCATCAGCTCCCAGATCCGTTGGTCTTTCAGCTGTACCAGATGCTCCAATCTCATCACCTTCATCTGCAAAATCTTCAGAAAGCGCACAAGTCTGAAAGTATCCAAGGATGCCCCCTGCCTGCCAGTTAGGCCATGGGCAGCTCCATCCTCTAGAAATGAATGTCCAACCCCAGGTCTCATGGCTGGGGGCTGGACCAAAGGCCCTTTGTGGGGGCACTGAGAAAGATGAACACCAGGATCCTTGGGGAAGATTCTAGAGCCAATGAGCCTGAGGAGCTTAGGGGGCTGGCAGGCCATGGAGGGCTGGTTTTCCTTCTGCTCCCTGCAAGGATCTCCCTGGCATCTCTGCCTGTTTGCCCTGTATCAGCCAGAAGGGCTAGATACAGGGCAGGGCTAGAAACAGGGCAGGGCAGGAACTGAGCTTTCTTTACTGTGAGCCCAGCACCCAGCTGGGAAGACCCTCAGAGCACATATGCCAAGCCAGTAGCGGACTAACAGGTGTGTAGCTGTTGGACTCCGTTCAGCGTGTACTTTCAAACGTCGATGACTCAAGGGTAAGTGAAGGAGGGCTGTAGGTAGGCCAGTGGTTAAGGTTAAGAGTGCATATTCTTGCTGGATTTGCTGGTGCAAGCCTTTCATCCCAGTACTTGGTGGGTGGGGAGGCGGCAGAGGCAGGTGGGTCTCTGTGAGTCTGTGAGTTTGAGGCCAGCCTGATCTACAAAGAGAGTTCAAGGACAGCTAGAGCTACGTAGAGAGACCCTGTCTTTAAAAAAAAAAAAAAAAAAAAAAGAGCCGGGCGGTGGTGGCGCATGCCTTTAATCCCAGCACTTGGGAGGCAGAGCCAGGCGGATCTCTGTGAGTTCGAGGCCAGCCTGGTCTCCAAAGTGAGTTCCAGGAAAGGCGCAAAGCTACACAGAGAAACCCTGTCTCGAGAAAAAAAAAAAAAAAAAGAGTATGTACATATTGGTAACCTTTTGGAGAGGATCAGAGTTAGAGTCCTACTACCCACACCAGGCAGCTCACAAACACCTATTACTCCAGCTGCAGGAGGGTCTGATGCATCTGGCCTCCATGGATATCTGCACTTACCCACACATACACAAAATTTTAGGTTTTTTTTTTTTTTTTTTTTTTATTGAGACTGCATCTCTCTATGTAGTCCCAGTTGTCCTGGAACTCGCTATGTAGACCAAGCTGGCCTTGACCTCATGGAGATCCTCCTGCCTCTGCCTCTTGAGTGCTGGAATTAAGGGCGTATATCACCATGCCCAGTTATACATAATTTCTAAAAAACTAAATAAAAAAGAATCAGTGAATGAAGAAGGGTCTGTAAAAGCCAGGGGTGGTGGCACATGCCTATAATCCTAGCCCTGGGGAGGCAGAGACAGGGCATCACTGAAAGTTCAAAGTCACCCTGACTCTTTAGCAAGACTCAGTCTTACAACACCAAAAAGAAAAAACAAAAAGAGCCTTCAGAAAGAGCAGGCAGAGAGTCCCCCCACTGTTACGCCTTGGGCACAGTGGCTACAGGCTTCTATGCTGGGGTGTCTGTGGCCCCTCCATGCCTGCTTCAAGGATGACCTTGTTCCCAACCTTTTCCCATCAGAAACACAGACCCCACCATGGTCCTCGGGCAGAAAAACTGGCTCTGTCTCATCTCCATGTAGCGTGAAGGAAGGCATATATGGAGGCAGCCTCACAGCAGACAATGGAAGACAAGGCCCCTCCTTGGGCCCAGAGGGTGTGACACTGTTCATAGCCAGGACATAAAGCCTATTTTCTGACCCCTCCCCACTACTCTTCACTCGGTGACAAACTGAAAAGCCAGGTTGCTGTGGCTAGGTCCAGCCATGGATTCCACCCCATGTGGCGCAGCCACAGGCTTGATGCACAACATCCTTGTCTATCACCATATATTTCTCCTGTGACTCCCGGTGTCTCTTCTACTCCAAAGCTGTGTATCTCACTTAGTGACAGTTTATAAGTAGTACTCAACCCTTAAACGGCAAGTTGAGTGTCAACCCTTAAATGGCAAGCTGGTGTGTTTCCGCTCTGGGTCTCCAGTGAAGAGGTCCAGTTCCCTTGGTCAGCGGATGAGCCTGGGCGGCAGTGAGGAGAGCTGGGCTATGAACAAGCAGGGCAGACGGAGGCGGCGGCAGCTTCAGTTCTCCTCACTGCTTCCTCTCTGCTTTTGCTCGCAATTCCAAAGCCACAGTGGCAATACAACACTTCCCTGTTTCACAAGAAGATAACAGTACGTACACAGGAACTGAGGTGATACTGCAATTTCCGATAGGCCCCGTGACCCTGAGGTCCACTGGCCCAGACTGTCCACTCTCCCCTCCTGCCTCAGCTCTTGTGCTCCCGGGATACCAGGAGAGGTAAAAAATAGTAAGGGGCACTGGAAGTTTCTGGTGAAAAAGTAGCAGAACAGATGTGTGCGTGCAGAACCAAATGCACATCAGAGAGCAAGACATGCACCATACAACAGGGCGTATACTGTAGAACTAGGTGTGCGCTGACAGAGCCAGGAGCACATCCACAGGACTGGATGTGCATGCGCAGTACCAGGCATTAGCCCACACAAACGGGCATACACCACAAAACCAGGTGTGCATTGCAGAACCAGATATGCACTACAGAATAAGCTGTGCATCACAGAGCCAATGTATACTGCAGAGCTAAGTGTGTTCCATAGAACCAGATGTGCACCAAAGCCAGGTGTGCACTGCACATGGAAATGCTCACAAGGATCCCCGGGTGAGTTGTTTCCAGGGCCCTGGCCTTTGCAGATGGGGAGAAAGATGAGGCCCATTTCAGGTTCATGGGGGGGGGGAGGGAGGCAAGAGCCTCTTCAGCCAGCATCCCACTCTATCTGCTTCCCAGATGTTCACCTAGCACCTGCTTCCTGATATGGGCCTTGGTCCATACAGCCATCCTATCCCCTGTGCTGCACTTGGGTGTGATGTGGACAGACCAGTAAAGCAGAAGGTGTGTACATTAGGGAGCCACCATATATTTTCTGCCTCTGAGAAGGACTAAAATGTTCCATAGACTGTTTTTTCTTTTTTTTTTTGGGGGGGGGGGAGTGTTTCAAGACAGGGTTTCTCTGTGTAGTTTTGGTGCCTGTCGTGGATCTCTCTCTGTAGACCAGGCTGGCCTCTAACTCACAGAGATCTGCCTGGCTCTGCCTCCCGAGTGCTGGGATTAAAGGCATGCGCCACCACCGTCTGGTCCATAGACTGTTTTCTAAATAATCCAGAGAATGTGGATTTGCTCTGGTCAGGGCTCTGCACACCCCATATGCCCTTCAGTGGGTCAGTGCCAGCTCTGCAGAAACTCAGCCAAGGAGTCTGAAACTGGGGCAATGGGTCCCTCTGCGTCCTTGTTGGGCAGCAAGGGATGTCCAACAGGACCGTACCTTGACTGTCTCCTGCAGAATGGCTAGTGCTTGCTCCTTATCCTCCAGCTGCTGCTGGATTCTGGTCAGGTGATCCCAGAGCCCTTCAACTGGGTCCCTGAAAGGTAAACACTGACCTTTAATCCAGGATAGGGCTCATAAGGAGGTGGGCAGGGAGAATATGAGAGATAAGGGTCCACCCTCTGCAAGCACAGCCGCCCATTTTCTCCAAATCCCTTTGATTCTGAAGGGTCTTCATGCTGAAGGGGGCTGGAGGGCTCTGTAGGCCTGTATGACAAATAGACACCATCAGCTCAGGACCCTGCTTCTGACAGGCACCTACTAGTGAGAGTAAACATGGATGAGTGGGGGCAGGGGGTGGGAGGCATGGTCCATAGAGGGTAAAGCAAACTTAGAAGTCATCCTGGGAGGACTCCATCCTAGCTTGCTGTCAGGGCCCTTTGCATAGAGCTCTGTAAAGCTAGCTCAGAAATGGCTTCCCTGCATGGTTCACAGGCTCCCCCCTTGGACGGTTGCTCTCTAGGTATTGATAGAGCCAGGACCTTGAGTACTCTGCCTGCACAAGTGAGGGTGCCTTCCTCAGAGGCCTACTAGCTCCTCTGGGCCCTGGAGGCACTTGAGCATACATACCTGCCCTCTTTTGAAGGTTTGTGAGCTCATGGTTGCTGTGTGTCCAGCCTTCAGGAATGGAGCGATGTTCTCCACAGAGGGGCTCTGAGAGGCTACAATTATCCACGTTAGGATCTTGAGTCCTAGCGGTATATGGGTGGGTGGTGAGCCCTACCCAAGGCCGAACAGCATCCACATTGGAGAGTCCTGGATCCTGCAGAGTACAAAAGTTGGGAAGTGAGGTGTAGCAGGGATGGATAGGTCTGGTCTCCACTCTAGGTGGGGTCAGTGGGTAACCTGGGAAAGGTTTGAGGTGGTTGTAGTTGGAACAATTCTTTAAATGTTTGCACTGTCCCAGGGTAGATGGTTCAGGATGGGAAGGAGATGGGGACCTGGGAAGATCCCAGGCAGCAGGAAAGTAAATGTAAGTGGGTATATAACCTCACGTATGGACTTCATTTCATTCTGGACCACAGGGACATTCATTTCTCTGTTTTAGTCTCACACAGACAGATTATCTGACCGTGCAAAAGGGCAACAGACACAGCCGACTTGCAGGCTGAACTGCTGTGCAGACACTTACAGCTGCACTAGCTGAGCCTACATGATGAACAGTGCAGGCCTCCATTTTCTCCCTCAGTGCACACAGGATAGACTCGATAACCCCAGGCCTGTTGGACACGACCTTTTGGATATCAGCCTCTGAGATACAGAAGTGCAGCTTTCGAAAGACTTTCCTGCAAAGAAAGTGGGGGTGCACTCTCAAAGCAGTGCCACCGAGGGCTGGGAGTGAGCCCTCCTACAGTTCCGTCCGCATCCTCGCGGGCCATGCCTTCCAGCTACTGGACAGCATCCAGCTTCCTCGGAGAGGGGAAGCTAACAAGGTTTCCTTTTTGTTCTACAGCCCAGGGGCCCATGGCTATCTCCTTCCTGGCCTAGTGGGCCTATGTCTCAGGAGGTCACAGAACACCTGATGCACTCTGCTACGTCAGGCCATCCTTGTCTTCCTGACTGCTTGACCTCTGCTCTATAAGTCCTGTTTGTTGTTGTTTTTCTTTCTTTCTTTCTTTCTTTGTTTTGTTTTTCTTTTTTCTTTTCTTTCTTTCTTTTTTTTTTTCTTTTTGTTTTTCAAGACAGGGTTTCTCTGTGTAGCTTTGAGCCTTTCCTGGATCTCGCTCTGTAGACCAGGCTGGCCTCGAACTCACAGAGATCCACCTGGCTCTGTCTCCCCAGTGCTGGGATTAAAGGCGTGCACCACCACCGTCTGGCCTGTAAGTCCTATTGATACAGCTCAACGGTCCCTAAACTCTGCAGCTGGGCCCTTTCAGGCATGATCACCCTTGAGGTTTCATTCCAACTCTACCCTCTCAAACATGAGCCCATGGGACTGTGTCCAGGTCTGAGTCCTGCAATGCCCCTAATTCAATCTGAGCCAGTCCTGAGGGGTCTGACTTCCTCCATACAGCATCCTGGGTACCCACACATGTTCCCCATCTTGCTCTGCTCAGTCACTTCCTCGGGGCCATCTTGATTTGACCACATCTGACATGTCTGTCCTCCTCCGGTTGTTCTTGATATCAAGTAACACAACAAACACACAGGCAGGGGCTGGTCTGAGGACAGTTTGGGAGGTGGAGTACACCGTGCCTCCACTAATCTGGAAGAGATCATGGCTACCTGGTGGGCTGTCCTAGCAGGGGGTCCCCAGGAACCCTGGTTGTGGTACAGTTCTGTAGGCAAAGACCCACAGTAATGTCAGAGACCCACAGCTAGAAACTTGTCCCAAAGGGGCATTAGAGAGTATCCCTGGGTCAACCTAGGTGGGCTGAGCTCCGAGGCCTTGCCTGTTGAGAAGGCTCCAGTTGCTCAGCTTCTGGTCTGTACTGCAGGCTGGGACGTAGCTGTGCAAGTCCACCAGCCGAGGGTGGAAGTGCTTCACAATCTCGGCCACCAGCACTGTGGGAATGCAAGGTGAGCTTGGCTTGCCTGGCTAAGGACCCTGGGCTGCAGTTGTAATTAATCCCTGATCACATGAGATGTACGGAGTGAAAGGGGAAGGGCACGAGCTCGTCCTGGGGAGCCCGTGATCGTCCCCGAGAGTCCTGAACACCACACCTAGACTCCAGGACGGAACAAGTAGTAGGATGGTCTGGGGAGCTACCACGGGGTGAGAGCCCTGGAGGAGCTGGAAGAGCCATAGGAGGCCACATCTGCCACTACCTTTCCTAAGAGGCCCGGTGTGTGGACTCGGACACCGTCCACCCTCTCCTCCCGTGCCCCGGTACTATGGGGCTGGAGTCAAGGGCGGCCCTCAGCTCTGAACCCTCTTCATCATAGGCCCCATTGCGCCTCGCCCTCACTCGCACCACCATCACTGAAGTCCCGAGCCAGGTGGCGCTTGGGGCGGCTGAGTGGGAGCCGGTCCAGCCAGGCGCAGAGGTTGTGGATTTCCTCAGGCGGTGGCATGAGCGCAGCAGAGCTCTGCTTGGAAGCATTGAGCATGGTAAAGGTGTGAGTCTGCAGCAGCGAAAAGCAGCGGAAGAAACCAGAAGGCGTAGGACCGTTGCTGGGAGACGAGGCACAGCCGGAAGAGGCGGGGCCCGCACCGCACCGGCCCTCCCTCTGTCCCAGGTAGGATTGGTCCCCCTGCATGTCAGGCAGGGGACAGGACTAAATTACGGTGGATGGTTAAAATTAAGGGAGAAGGTAGGTGAAATCGTGTGATCTGGTGTAATAAAAACAATTGGCTTTTTAGAAAATGGTCTGTAATCTACTGATAAAATAAAATTTTTATTAATGAATAATGTTTAGCAGTATGTTAGACAACCATTCTGCCCCAACTCCGAAATGATGGTGACTCCTGTCCCATCACCCCACCCCACCTCCAGAAGGTAGACTTCTCCTCACTAAGTCTCGTGGGCCAGTGGGATGTAGGAGATACAGGAACTGTGCAGGGCTGCCCCAGACTTGGGGAGGGGTCACTGGGTGCAGAGGTTGCTGGGAGGGGGCTTCTGGCATCCTGTCTACACCAGAAGACAGGTACACTCTCTCACGGCAGGTGATGCCCTCTAGCCTAGCAATTGCAGACATGTGGCTTAAGCTGGCCAAGGCCAGGGAGAGGACCCTGGTTCAGGAGGGCAGCTGGATAGCAAGAGCCACATAGTAATTATTCCTGAGGAATAATCACTGTAGGACCAGTGATTGCAGGTATTATGCCCAGAGACGGCCTTAAGACCACCATGGGGACCGAACCCCATATATAAAAGCAAAGAGCCTTTATTTCAAGCTCGAGCTTGGTCTCTATGTGTCAGACACAGCAGTGAGAGCAGAGCCTGAGCCCAGGCAGGGTGGGGTTTTTATCATAGGAGAGGTTGGGGTGAGGGGATTTCCAGGGTTCAGGACCCTTCTTGGCTGACATTTGTCCAGGGGTATCTTGGTAAAAAGAGAAAATAGGCTCAGGGACATCTGTTAATCTTATTTAATCTTATTTAAGGGCTGGAATATTTGGGGTGTCAGGTACTTCCCCTTAGATGCTGGCCCATTACTGGGTGGATCCCTGTGTGGTATCAGCTTATGGCTTTTCCTGGATCTGGGTGTTGCCTGCCCGTAAGCTTGTCATGGCAGCTGTGTGGTCAAGCTGTTTTGGGCACCCACCACCCCCACCCCCACCCCCCGCCAGCAGGTCCAGCCTGAGTAAGGGCTGTTGCTGAAAGAGCATGTCCACAGGAGCACTGGTATCTCCAAACTTCCACAAGCCTACAGTGGCTCTGGGGTGCCCGCTGGTCACCTCTTCTGGACAGGGACCTTCAGAGCAACCTTTGGACCACCAGCTCTCTGCCAGGAAAAAAAAGGGGGAAATTGATGTTAAAAGCATCTGGTCTGCCACAAGAGGTACAGCTAAATATTCCCATTTATAATTCTTTAAATTTAGATTCTCACTTCCCCAGCAGCAGAATTAATGACCCCGTCCACACAAGATGATTGCATTAATACGTCACATATGGTGTAGACTTCTCATTGCCATATGAAAAGGAAAAATAGACAACCCCTCACAGCAGCAAGCACTGAAAAGTTCTGGCAGATTAAAAAGCAGACATCAAGCCTGTTACTGAGGACTTTCCCCACTTTCTTTCAGATGTCAACAAAACTTACCAGTTAACAACAACCCACCCCAGCCTCCAGAGCAATGCAGGTCAGCAGGATGGTTCCAGCAAGACAGACCCCTCCTGATGGGGGCTCACCTGAGTCACTCCAGGCATGGGCCCTTCAGTCCCAGGCTTGACTGGTGGTGTTGGGGGTGCAGAGTTTGGCTTGACCTGGGAGGAACCAGACACAGCTGATGGAGGGCATCTCCCAAGCGGGCCAAGCACTGCTCTCAGCTTTATCCTCCCAAGGCTGTCCTGCTCATCTCCAGCCTAGCTCTGAGGCTCCTGTCTTCACACAGCTCTGTAGGAAAGCCCTCTGTGGCTGTACCACTCAAGAGATAAAAACTGAACTTGGCAGTGCTCTTCTTCCTGGCTAGCTGTCCTAATCCATCTCACAGTCTCGACAGTACCCTACAACATTATCAGAAGCTCAAGATAAAGAATTAACTACTAAAACACATTTCTTTGCATGTCCACATTCCTAGAGAGGATGGTAACCTGGCATTGGTAGGTGTCAGGATATCTTGAAGGCTCTGCTGAGCTGTCCTCCTGGGTGAGGCACATTTTGGTTTTCCTCCTCATCCAGTTTCTCTAATCCTTGCTCAGAAATTCCTGTGCACTGCCCCCATTTTGCCTTTAGGACTTCTCCTAGGGTTCTTTTTTCCTTCCTTTTTTCCTTCCTTCCTTCCTTCCTTCCTTCCTTCCTTCCTTCCTTCCTTCCTTCCTTCCTTCCTTCCTTCCTTCC